ATGAGGAAACTGAGGCTTGGGGTTGTTAAGGGGCTGGCCTGAGTTGGCCCAGAGCCGGGTCAGGATAAGAATCTCTTATCTTTCACCTTGGCTGCCTACTTGCTACATTTTCATAAACAATTTTTGAGAAAAAGGAATGGATTGGAACAGGATGCAGGAGGCTCTGTGGCCAAGGAGCCTCGGGCAGCGGGCAGAGCCCTTGAGATGTCTGTGACCAGAGTCCCCGGAGGCTGCCAGGAAAGGGTTATCCCCAGGCAGGCGATATTTGCAAAAATATGGGTTCTTTCAGATTCCAAAACTCATTTCCATGACAAAACTCTTGGGAAGAGAAGATGAAGGCTGGGCTTCTGCAGAACAATCTTCCAGCTGTAATGAGGACCGAGGATGGCAAGGGGAAAAGGGAATTATAATTAGAATATGAAATGGGGAAAATTAATCTATTCCAGCTCGTGGTAAGAGGATGTTCTCCTGGCCTTTCAGGGAAATTCTTGGGTCGCTGCTTCTCTCTACACTTTTACTTTTCACCTTTTGAAGCAGCTCGAAGGCTGTGTGATGTGAAAGGAGGTATTTGGCGGATGGGGCTGGTGGCAGGCAGGTTTGGAGTGCCCGACGGCTCGGCGCGTTTCTGCCCGTGCCTGCGTCCCCGTGTGCATGTGGGTGGGTTGTGTTCCCACAGCTGCAGAGGCAGGGATGTGTGTCCACCTCCAGACCTGCTCTGCGTGGGTACCCTGGGGATTGGCAGGGAGGGGGAGGTGTGCCCTTGTGTGGGTTGGTGCAGGTATGACCTAGCAACATGAGTTGCCCCTGCCTTGTGCTGCGTCTCCCATCCAGCCAGGGCACAGAACCACCAGCCTTTATGCTTGATAGATCCCCAGCTCGTCTGTGCATGCAGAGAAGGCAGCTGGGTGGCTTCTCCCCTTGAAGTGCATGTCCTTGTAGAACCTAAGAAGAGGGCGCTGGGGGGTTGGAGCAACAGCACAGCAGATAGGGTGTTTGCCTTGCACGTGGCCGACCCAGGTTCGATACCCAGCATCCCATATGGTCCCTCGAGCACCGTCAGGAGTAATTCCTGAGTGCATGAGCCAGGAATAATCCCTGTGCATCACTGGGTGTGACCTAAAAAGCAAAAAGAGAAAAGAAGAGGGCACAGGGACCAAGTGAGAGTCTGAGGTCTGCGCTCTGCCTTCCACCCCTCCCCTCCTCCAGGGATATGGCACTACAGTAAATCAGCTCCCCTGCCCCACTTTCCGGCCTCTGTTCATGGCTGTGCAATGGTCAGGTCTTCCCCAGTGTACTCCAGGGGGTGGGTCACACGTGTGCCCCTCTGGCTCACCAAGTCCAAGGCTGTCCCTGTCCTGGGGACTGCCCCGCCAGAAGCCAGACTTCCTGTCAAGGCACCTCTGGGAAGCCCACTGTGGGCCCTGGACCTGTCTCCTTGGCACACACTCGTGACAGCCCACAATCAGGCTTGAGCAATAGTACAGCAGGTAAGGCGTTTGCCCTGCATGCAGTGGGCCCAGGTTCGATTCCCAGCATTACTTATAGTCTCCTGAGCACAGGCAGGATTAATTGCTGAGTGCAGAGCCAGGAGCAACCCCTCAGCATTGCCAGGTATGACCCAAAATTTTTTTTTAAGCCTACAGTTTCCTGTCCTCCACCTAGGGCCATTCTCTGGGATGACCCCACCCCAGCCTCTCACAATACTTCTGCACATGGGTGCTGGGGGTGGGGAGGCAGAACCTGCACTATCCTGGTTCTCAGCAGAACTCCTGGGGGTCTCAGAGTCAGGGTTCACAAAGGGGCCCGAGGAAGGACAGACTCTACTCTGAAGTCTAGTTCTCTAACCCTACCATCCAGACAATTGCTTGTCCTCTCAAATTTTGCTTAGTTTTCATCCACCCTTTCATCTATCCATCAACCATCCATCCATCTACCCATCCATTCATCTATCCATCCATCAGTCCATCCATCTGCTCATCCATCCTCCCACCCATCCATTCATTCATACACCCTCCCATCTATCCATCTTCTGTCCGTAAGTCTGTTCATCTGTCCGTCCATCCATCCATCCATCCATCCATCCATCGAACCATCCATCCATCCATCCATCCATCGAACCATCCATCCATCGAACCATCCATCCATCCATCCATCGAACCATCCATCCATCCATCCATCCACCCACCAATCCATCCTCCCATCCAACCATCTATCCATCCATCCATCCCTCTTCTCATCCTTCCACCCTCCCATCCAACTATCCATTTATCCTTCCATCCTCTCATCCATCCATTCATCCATCTGTCCATCCATCCATCCATCCATCTGTCCATCCACCCATCCATCTGCCCATCCATCCGTCCATCCATCCATCCATCCACCCACCATCCATCCATCCTTCCATCCAACCATCTATTCATCCTTCCATCCCCTCATCCATCCATCCATCTGTCCATCCACCCATCCATCTGCCCATCCATCCGTCCATCCATCCATCCATCATCCATCCATCCATCCATCTACCCGTCCATCCGTCCATCTGTCTGTCCGTCCACCCATCCATTCATCCACCCATCCATCCATCCATCCATCCACCCTCCCATCCATCCTCCCATCCAACCATCTATCCATCCATCCATCCCTCTTCTCATCCTTCCACCCTCCCATCCAACCATCCATTTATCCATCCATCCATCCATCCACCCACCATCCATCCATCCTTTCATCCAACCATCTATTCATTCTTCCATCCCCTCATCCATCCATCCATCCATCCATCCATCTGTCCATCCACCCATCCATCTGCCCATCCATCTTTCCATCCATCCATCCATCCATCCATCCATCCATCCATCATCCATCCATCCATCCATCCATCCACCCATCCATCCATCCATCTGTCTGTCCGTCCACCCATCCATTCATCCATCCTTCCATCCATCCATCCATCCACCCATCCACTCGTCTCTGTCCATCCTTCCATCCATCCTCCTGTCCATCCATCCATCATCCATCCACCCATCCTCCCACCATCCACCCACACATTCACCTGCCCACCCACCAAGTCACAAGCATCATGGGACCTCTGCTCTGTGCCAGGCTGTAGTCTTGAAGCTTGGGAAGTGGCGATATGCAGTGGGGCGGGAATTCCTCACCACCAGGAGCCTCTGCTTTAGGAAAGGGAAGTGAACTCTAAGCTGGGAACTAAATAAATCACTGAATGATGGTAAGTGCTAGATAGTCCAGGACTGTCAACAAAGACCATGTGCAGTGAGGCACAGGGCAGGGAAGGTGCTGGGGCGCTCAGAGCCCCCAAGGCAGAAGGCATGAGTGTGTGCTTGTGTGGAGCAGGGCTGCCCACTGAAGGAGGTGCAAGGAGACTTTGTGTGAGTGTGGGGTGGGAGTGTAACCACCCTCAAGAGAGCCACGTGGCCCCGTCGAGTCACCATGCATTGGACCTGTGGGGTGACCCCAGCTAATGATGTGGACAAGCTCACCCCCAAGCACAATAGTGAGAAGACAAAATACTGAAAATAGCAAAGGGCTGCAAGCAACTCAACTGCCCATGCACCCCACCGGCTTAATGGACATGGCGCATCCACACTGCAGAATCCATAGCATCAGAAGCCAGAACTCGGTCCCATAGAATACAAAATGGGTAGCTCAGGGGAAAATAAGGTGCAAAACAGTGTGTGTAGTAAGCCAGCTTTGGTGTGATAGAAATGACTCACCCACACCTGTTGCGGAGATGCTCTCTTAAGGGCACAAGGCGGCTGGAACACTGTAGAAGGCTCTGGGGGTGAGGGGTGGGCAGGCGGAAGTGAGGTGGGAAGGAAATTTTTCACTGTGTTGCTTTGTGGGTGCTGGGAATTTTGCACTCTGTGAGTACAGCCTAATTAAAAAAAAATAAGTAGAGGCACCGTCACCTATTTTGCAATCAAAATAGGATGGCCAGCGGCCTTGGTGCCCCACCCTGTCCTGCAGCTGGCCAGTGTGCCCCTCTCCCAGCTGTCTGGAGCACTGCCTGCTGCAGGCTCACAGCTGGCGCACCTCTCTAGAGAACCAGCCCTGGACAAACGGGCTGACCATGCCCAGAAGGGTCTAGAAGGGTCTGCCTCCTGACATTCCCCCAGGGTCACCCAGAGCCAGGGACCGATTCTGTGGGCTGCAAAGACCCGCCCCTGGATTCCAGCCAGGACCCACTTTGGTGTGGTCATGCCCCAGAGCTCCTGAGGGACCGAGCGCCAGCTGGCCTCCAGCTGGACCATGTCACTGCTCAGTCCCCTTCTCTGTCCTGCTGTGCTTTGGAATCCTTGCCTTAGGCTCTCGGCCTGTAGGGAGCCGATGTGGGGGGGGGGGGAGGAGGCGCCTCTCTCAAAGGAAGGACTCTGGAGTGGGGTCACCTGTTCCCACTACTTCAGCCAGGCACCATGTGGAGAAGGGACTATGGTCACTGTCATCCCCCTCTGACAGAGCAGGACCCAGCGGGGCCGGGTGGTTGCGAGCATGGGCTTCCCCAGCTGTTCTGAGAGGGCGTCCAGCATCTGTCCTGACGGCTTCTCAGAACACAGCCTGGCCTGGTCCTCTCTGCCTGTGACCGCTGAGAGATAGGGCCACTAGGATGCTCAGCCCTGGAGGGTAGACTCGGGGCCAGTTGGCATCGTTCTGGAGCCCTGGCGAGCTCGGCCTCTCTCGAGCTGTAGTTCCAGCTCTCGCTGAGAGCCTGATGTCATGCTGGCCCAGGGAGGTGCTTGCATACTCCCTGGCATGGGGAGCTCAGTACCTGCAGAGGCCACCTGCAATGGCATAAGCATGCTTTGTTGCCCCTGCCCTAGGGCTGCCCTGCTGAAGTGGGCCCTGGGCCTTCAAGCTTGGACCTTTGTCCCGTGGCCCCCGGGTCCTTTGCCGCACCTGCAGCCAGTCCTCTTGGCCTCTTCTGGCCTCTTGCCGGGGCTGTCCTGAGGACCTTTTGCTCAGAGCCGCTTCTCTCTTTGTTTCAGTTTGATGGTGACGGTGCCTCCGTGGGGATGAGTGACGGAAGCCCGGAGCTCCTAGCAACCAGCCAGGTGGGTGCCCGTCCTCCCCGAGTGCGCTCTGGCCTGGGGCTCCGGGGCGGGGCCCGGCCCACTCCTGTCCACTTGCAGAATGGACATTAGTTGAAACTCCTTGCTGAATTATCAGTGAACGTTGGTAAACGTCAGAGACATGGTCCACATTCCTAGACCCACACAGCCCCGACTCTCACCAGCAGCCCGGGGGACAGAGGCAGGGTGTTCTGGGGTTCCGGGGAGGGTCCTGTTCTGGCTGCAGACAGGGGCTGCCACAAGCAGTAGGGCCCTGGAGGGCAGTGCCAGCCGAGCCTGTAGGGTGGCAGTTGCAGAAGGTGCTGGTGGCAGACCAGGAGACTTGGGATCATACTGAGGACCATCCCCGGAACTGACCCTCTTCCGCTGCAGTCCCAGTGGGGTGGCAGCACCCACACTTTCCAGCTGGGGAACCAGAATCTGTGGCTCAAAATACGGACGTGTCTTCTGTGCAGACATAGAGGAGGGAGTCAGGACTGTGGCGCTCTAGTTGGTTGGCGGGGGGGGCGTTCTCATCCCGGAGGTGCCATGCTCAGCCGAGGGTGCTCTTGAGGGGTCATACCATACCCTTCCTGACCATGCTCTTTTTTTTTTTTGCTTTTTGGGTCACACTTGGCAATGCACAGGGGTTACTCCTGGCTCTGCACTCAGGAATTACTCCTGGCGGTGCTCAGGGAACCATATGGGATGCTGGGAATTGAACCCGAGTCGGCCGCGTGCAAGGCAAACGCCCTACCCGCTTTGCTTGCTATCACTCCAGCCCCGACCATGCTCTTTTTTATAAATTTTATTTATTTATTTATTTGCTTTTTGGGTCACACCCGGCGATGCTCAGGGGTTACTCCTGGCTTTGCACTCAGGAATCACTCCTGGTGGTGCTTGGGGGACCATATGGGATGCCTGGAATCGAACCCAGGTCAGCCAAGTGCAAGGCAAACGCCCTACCCGCTGTGCTATTGCTCCAGCCCCTATTTTTAATTTTTAAAAAATTTGTTATTATTGAATCACTGTGAGGTACAGTTACAGACTTACAAACTTTCGTGCTTGCGTTTCAGTCATACAATGATCAAGTACCCATCCCTCCACCAGTGCCCATTTTCCACCACCAATGGTCCCAGCATCCCCCCCATCACCCCCACCCTGTCCCCTACACCCTACCCCACCTCTGTGGCAGAGCATTCCCTTTTGTTCTCTCTCTCTCCTTTTGGGTGTTGTGGTTTGTAGTAGAGGTATTTCATGTTCGGTCTATAGTCTACTTTCAGCCTGCATCTCCCATCCCAAGCGTTGGCCATGCCTCTTGCAGAGCTACCTTGACCAGCTCTCAGGGTGCCAGCCTGCAGCCCAGTGGGCTCACCCCAGCTCCTGGGATGCATGTTGGGTAAGAGCCAGCTGAAGTTGTCCAATCAGCTGTGACCTGGCATGTGACCCCAGAAATGTGGTCATTGGAGACTAAACCCCCAGATTCCCGCTGCCTGTCCCACTACTCCACCTGCCCTCCCCCTATTCTGGGCCCACCTCCAGATGAGCTGTGTGCCCACTTAAATGCAGAGGGTGTGAGGGTGCAGGGCTTTCACGGGGAAGGTAGACTCGGGGGATGCCCCTTCTGATCTCTCCAGGCTGGGGTGCATAGTCTCTCGGCGAGGAGGGGAGACAGCAAGCTTAGCCTGTGACAGGGTGGCCACTTTCCTCAGGGACAGTCCCCGGGCATCCTCATGGTGGCCCTCAGAGATGGTCGGTGCCCTCCTTCCACCCAGTTTATTTTATTGATTTTGTTCTGGGGAGCCACACCCAGGGGTGCTCAAGTCTTCCTTCCGGCTCTGCATATAAGGATCACTCCTGGAGGGTCTTTGGGCACCATGTGGGATACCAAATACTGAACCCAGGTCAGCTCCATGCAAGGCATGTGCCTTAACCTCTGTGCTATCCCTTTGGCCTCTAAGTCCAGTTGAGTGGGGAGGCCCTTGGAGCACTTCGGTATTTGTGGGCTCAGCCAGAGAAGGAACGGGGCTCCTCCTCAAACTTTGGTTCCCCCCTGTAGTGGAAAAGGCTTACTCCCCGAGGGTCTCATGGTCAGAATCTCCCCAAATCCGAGCTGTATAAAGAAGGCATCAAGAGGGCTGGGGCGATAACTCAGGGCTTAAGGCATTTACCTTGCACACAGCCAGCCAGGTGTAATCCCAACACCACACACAATCCCTTAAGCCCCTCCAGGAGTGATCCCTGAGCACAGAGCTGGGAGTAAGCCCCGAGCCCAGTTGGGTGTGTCCCCAAGACAAGAAAAAAGAGAAATGAAGGAAGGAAAAGAAGGCACCCTCAGAGTTCGCTGAGTTGACTGAGTTACTGGTTCCGATGCTGAGTTCCTGGGTGCCCCCGCCACACCGAGGTCTGGTTGATGGTCACCTGGGTGGCCATCTGGTGCGTTCAGATGGGCGGCTCTTCTTGAGGTTGTGCCGATGGCTGAAAGGCTCTGAGGCATGGGGGAAGTTGAGTTGCCTCTTGCCCTCCCCCAGGCTCACGGGGACCTTGTTCAAGTGGAGGGAGAGGGGCTCGCCGTTCAGCGAGCGCTAAAGCCCCAAGATTTCTCGAGGCTCAGAACTGGCTCGTGACTACTTATAGCACATCTGAGTCCCAGTGACAAGTGGCAGGGCTGGGGCAGATTCTCGGGATGGGGACAGAGGCTTCCTGGCATGAGAGGAACTGTGTTCTGTGACCTGACAAATGATCGTGCGGCCCCTGTGGGATGCAGTTCATGCAGTATTGCTGAAGGATAACACACTTCTCTGGGGTCCGTGGCTTCCGTGGCTCAGTGGGCTTCACTCCTCGCCTCTATTTCCTAATAGTGAAAGCTCTGTATGTTTCCTCCAGTCTTTCCACTGGACTAACTGGAAGGCAGCCATATGGATATGTGTGTGCGCACGCGCGCGCACACACACACACACACACACAGACACACATGCGCCTTCATGGGGTGTAACCTCATCAACTGTACTATTGTACTGCCCAAGAATAAACAGCCTAAAGGGCATAGAAAACGTTTTCTGTGAGACTGTAGAGAGCCATGAGGTTTGCCTGTTCTAGTTTATTTGTTGGGCACCAATAACACAACGCTCTGCATGGGGGGTGAAAGCGTTTCTGAAAGACGGTGACTTCTGCATCTCCCCATCGGGGCCAAGCCCCCTCTCAGCTGTAATGCATCTCCTGGAACCCCACCTCTTTATTTAGAAACTGGAGCCAAGACTGAGGCTCTTCCAGGATACCGTGTTCGCCAGCCGGGCCCCTTTGGTCAAACTCTTAAACCCGTCTCTTTTTGGGGTGCGATACTCCTTTTGCAAATCCATGCTCCACTGTCTGGTTTGTGCAAAACTTTGCATGAGACCCACATGGCTGCTTAAGCTGTCACCCAGCTCCCTGTCCCTGCTGGGCCTGCTCTGTGTGTGTGTGTGTGTGTGTGTGTGTGTGTGTAGGAGTATGTGTATGGATGTGTATGCATGCATATATGTATGTGTGAGCATGTACGTATGAGTGCAGACCCTGGCCAGGCGTTACCTGGTTATGTGGCCTCTTCCTGGAGGAGGCTGATGAGGAAGGGATCAGGCTTGGGACCTAGTTGATCTGGACTCACATCCAGTGAGAGGATTCTCTGAGGCCCTTTGCTGCCCACCTCCTAAGAGGTTGGGGTACAGGAAGGTGAACTTGTCAGTGCATCTCCCAGAGTACCTTTCTCCTGCCGGTGGACCTCTTACCTAGATGTCAGTGTCGGCTTCTAACTGGTCACCACTGGCCCTTCTCGGGAGCATGGGGAACCGGGAACCCGGCACAGGTGGAGGGGTGGTCAGAGATGGCAGGTCCCCTGTTTCAGGGGATGCAGTTCTTTTTTTTTTCTTTTTGAGTCACACCCAGCAGTGCTCAGGGGTTACTCCTGGCTCATGCACTCAGGAATTACTCCTGGCGATGCTGGGGACCATATAGGATGCTGGGGATCGAACCTGCGTCAGCCATGTGCAAGGCAAACACCCTACCTGCTGTACTATCACTCCAGCCTCAGGGGTGCAGTTCTTGAGTCTGGTGGAGCATCCGTCGAGACCCTCCTCCTTGCTCAGCTCCTCCCGGGACTGTTGTTCCCCACCCTTCCCTTCTCAGTCTCCCTTGCAGGAACCCCCGTCTCAGCTGGCTCTGAGGGAGACAGTGGGGAGAACCAGGGCTGGAGACAAGGCGGCTTTCCATTGTTTGTGTTATTGTCAAGAATGTTTCACACGCACCAGGGGAATCTCCGTTCCTTCTCGTGCTCATTGACAACTCAGCGCCCCTGTGAGCTGTTTCCGCAGTTGGGAATCCCCGGGCCATTTCCACCCGTTTCTTTCCTCTGGGTTGTCTTGGCATGGCCTTCCCAGCACTGGTAGAATCCCCACACTGGTGACTCGAAAGGCCGCTAATGTTGAAGAGTTCACACTTGGGGGCTGGGGCAATAGCACAGCAGGGAGGGTGTTTGCCTTGCAGGCAGCCGACCTGGGTTCGATTCCCAGCATCCCAAATGGTCCCCCAAGTACCACCAGGAATGCAGAGCCAGTAGTAACCCCTGAGCATAGCCGGGTGTGACCCAAAAAATAAAAAATAATAAAATAAAATGTGAAAAAAAAAGAGTTCACACTTTGTGGGTAGGGCACTTGCCTGGCGTGTAGCTGACCTGGGGTTGATTCCCGGAACTACATATGGTGCCCCAGTCCTTGGGCACCCTGACCCTTGGTGCCGGGCACTGCTGGGTGTGAGCCTTACTCTCCTCCCCCCCTAAAAAACCCTCAAGATTTAACTTTTTCCCTGAGAATTATTATTGAAAGAACTTATTTGTATGTGTAATGTGTGTACAGTCTGTAGTTTCCAAAACTCTCAGTGGTGAGAGTGGTTGTGGGGAAAACAAGCGGGTGTGTGTGTGTGTGTGTGTGTGGTGGGGGGTGACATAAGGCTAGGAGCAGGATGATATTGTC